CTCCTGCATGCCCCTTAATGGGGATCGAGCCTGCAACCTAGGCATATGCCCTAACAGGAATTGAACCGTGACCTCCTGGTTCATAGTTCAACACTCAACCACTGAGCTACAACAGCCAGGCTCTTTTTAAATACTGTGTTTGAATTGACTGCTTGACAGCTGAGTAAAGATGTCAAAAGGAAAAAACAAGATGTTTAATGGGAGTTGCTTATACATTTCTAGTGCTCAGGGAAGGTATCAGGAGTAAAAGATGTAAATTTAGGCATCATTAACATGTAGAGGATATTTCAAGTCATAGAATGGAAGAGAGAAGTTTATTCCATTGAACTGAATCTAGAAGCCTACCAACATTTAGAGTTGGGAACAGTTGGAGAAGCCAACAAAGAGAGAGAAAAGAAGCAGCCAATGAAGCAGGAGAAAAGTAGATTGTGATTACCTCGAAGCCAAGGGAGAAACATGTTCCATGAAAAATAGAGTGGTCCGCTGAGTCAAATCTGCTGAAATGTTAATAAAATTGAAGATAAAATAATGTGTCATTTGATCTGACTTATTTTCTAGAACAGCTGGTTAGTTGCTATTCCCATATAGTTCCACAGTCTCACATATATGTCCTATACATCATTTATCATACTTTATTGTAACTGTTTTAATTATCTGTGGCTTACATTAAATTGTAAACTCTATGAGGACAGAAGTTGTGCCTGATTAGATTACTTTTTAGAGCAAAAAAATATTTTATTTTATGGGTTGATGCTCAACCACTGAGCCATACCAGCCGGGCAGCCATGTAGTAAATCTTAATAAAAATTTGTTCAATGATGAACAAATGAATGAATGAACCAAAGATGTATAAAAGGCCACTGACAATCACATCCCTCCCAAATGAACAAATAGCATTACCTAACTCCTTAGTGCTGGAGAATTCATCAAAATTCAACAATTGAGGGCCCCAGATAATCATACTGGAGACGATAAGGTTGGTCTTAATTCACAAAAATGGTATAAGAAAATGGAGAGAAATGAGGTATCATAAAAAAGCTGGACTTAAAAAAACAAAACACAAAACTAGGACTTACATACATTAAAAGTAGTCCATAGTATTGACCTATGAAACAGGTTGTCATGGTTCCGTCAGTGCACATACCTGGGTTGTGGGTTCGATCCCCAGTGTGGGACATGTAGAAGGCAGGCAATCAATGATTCTCTCTCATCATTGATGTTTCTATCTCTCCTCTCCCTTCCTCTCTGATATCAATGAAAAAATATATTTTTAAAAAGTAGTCTATAAGCCCAAACTTATAACCACCACAAAATTGGTGGGCTTATTTTTCTTGTCTTACAGAAGCTATTAGAGCTACACATTACCTTTCTGTGGCAACTTTTCCCATTTGATACTGTGCTACATGTTCATCGTTAACTTGATTTCACCTGTATAATTATGCTTGTGTTTTTTGGGGTGGGGTAGGGGTTTGGGATGGGGGAGAGGCTTGTTTTGGTATAAAGGAGCTGTATCATGCCTCAACCCTTATCAATCAGGAATCTATTGCTATCAACTCACAAAGGAGCCCTCATATTTTTGCAACTCCTATGTAAGGAGGAAATGGAGTTCTAGTTTTTTGTGGCATCCTCTATCAAGTTTATACAGACCAATCATAGTTGATTCCACAGCTGACCTAAGTTCTCAAGAGCACAGAAACTATCCCAGAAGTAGCCTGAATGTCTTTCAATGCTTGGACTCATGTAGGGTACTTGAATATATACTTACGCATTCGTTTCCTATTGCTTCTGGAACAAATGATCACAAATCTATTCACTTAAAATAGCACACATTTATTCTCTTCCAGTTCTGGCAGTCAAGAGTCAAAAATAAGTTTCACTAGGCAGAAATTAATGTTTTGGCAGGGTGTACTCCCTCCAGAAACTTTAGAGGAAAATCTATTCCTTGACTCTTCCAGCCTCTGACGGCTGTCAGCATTCCTTGGCTTGTGTCTGCATCATTCAATTTCTGCCTCCATGGTCACACTGCTTTTCTTTCGTGTGTGTGTGGCATCTCCTTCTGATTTCTTCTTATGAGAATATTTGTGATTGCATGTAGGGGCCACCCAGATAATCCAAGATAATCTCTCTATATCAAAATCATTAATTTAATCATATCTGAAAAGACCCTTTTCCTAATAAGTTAACATCTCTAGGCACCAGATGTAGGACTTGATATCTTTGGCAGGGGGACTGGAGTGGGCATTATCAACCTGCCACAACTTACATCTATATTTACCCACTCTGCTCAAAACTATGCCAAACTGACATATTGTAATCCATGAACATTTGTTAAAAGTCATACTTAAAAAAATGTTTTTTATTGGTTTCAGAGAGAGAAAGGGAGAGGAAGAGAAATATAAAAACATTGACTGGCTGCCTCCTGCACACCCCCATACTGGGGATGGAGCATGCAACCCATCCTGACCAGAAATCAAACCAGCGACTTCCTGGTGCATGGAACAATGCTCAATCAACTGAGCTTCACCAGAGAGGCACATCCATGAACATTTGCACTACTTTCCTTAAATCCTGATGTAAGCTAAATCTGAAAGATTATTTTATCTTTAAAAATTATTTTATTTTATAATGAAAAAGTTGCATGTAGGTTCTAAGAGGATCAAGCTATTAAATGATCTGGGATCCGTATCATTTGAACAGTGGTTGAAAGAATTTGTTCTATTGAAAAGAGAAAAGAAGGCTTAAAGGAGGATCACATAGCTTTCTTCATACGTATGGAGATATTTCATAAAGAATAGAGCTTACATACATACTGTGTAGGCTGAGTTAGGAACAATTAATTGTAGGTGTAGACAGACAGATCCAATCCAATATGAATAAGAATTCAGAAGGAATAATAGAAGGTGCCCCTTCAAAATGAAGTCTCGTTCTAATTCTGAAAGTATTCATGAATATGCACAGACCCTGAGAGGAGGAATGCAGGTAGAAGTAGAGAATATATCCTCCGATACAATCATGAGGATATTAATAAAGACATAAAGTCTCTTTAATGACTCTAAATAAATCTAAGTAATATTATCCTTCTTAATCCATTTTCCAAATTACAGTACAGTCAGAGTGATCTTTTAAAAGTCAAATATAATTGTCAGCCCCCTTGATTAAAACTTCATTTGCTGAAAGGACCTTTCAGTATTGACCCCTAGCTTCTTTGCCCATCTTATCTGATGTGTTTTTCCTTCCTCTCTGCATTCTTGTATTGCTTAACTTTAGACACTTGATCCTTCCTTCCTCAAGGCTGTTGGACATACTGTTCTGTCTGCTTCGAAGCTTTTCGCCCTTCTTGCCTAAGTTACTCCAGTTGGCTCCCCATATGAGTTTGCAAATTATTCTGAACTGCTTTATCAAGATGAAAGTATTTATTGTATAATTGACTGTGTCTACCTTCCCTGCTAAAACATGTATCTTGTTCAGCACCTGGCCTGCCACATGGTGAATATCTTGAAATATTTGAATGAATGAATGGACTATCTGGTTTAAAGTGGAAAAGAAGGGGGGGGGGAATATTTGCCTGACACCAGATTTCTAGTTGCACATTTTCAGAAACACCAGCATGGTTTCTTGAAAGAGTGTATTCCATGAAAGAAAGGGGAGGCAGATGAAGAAAAATAAGCAATCATCAAGCACCCAAATATTTATAAAATGCCAAGTGTGTCACGCCAGCATGACCAAGGGTGATCCTGAGTGGGGGCTGGCGGGGGGGGGGGGGGAGGTGAAAGGATTAAGGAAAGACAGACAAGAGAATGAAAGCTGGGTCTCGGTGGGATGCTGCTCCCTGATGAGGAGACAGCGCCAGCGCCCACAAGCCGTGTCTTTATTTTATAGCAGATGCCACGAGGCAAAGTAGGGGCGTGATCACATTGTTTACAGCATTCTCGTGAGTTTCATCCTCACTCAACTACATGCACCCAAACTCTATCACAAGGCACGTGGGGCTACGTGTTCGGACCATAGGTTCAAGCTTACAACCACAGCCATTGGCTATGATTGTGCTGGGAGGGCCCTGCCCTTCCAGCTGGGACTTGCACGTGGCAATGAGAGGACCCTGTCCTTTCATTAGTCTGAGGCTTGAACCTGGCCCAAACACTGTAGCCGCGCCCCACAGCCAAGTATGTGCTTGGCACCTTGAGTCAGAAATCCAAAGGTGGGCAAGTCTCACGCAGTTCTTGTCCTTAACAAATCCGCAGTCTAACAAGGATAGACAAATACTCAGCAAAGTAATTTCCATGAACTGTGGTAAACACTGCCAAAGAAGGTGTATCTGTGCTATGAAATACCTAACTTGGGGGGTGGGAGGCCAGAGGGAGAACGATGGGTGGTCTGGGAAGCCTTACCGGTCTAAGCTGAGACCTGAATGATGAGGAGACTTGGCGGCCTGGGGAACTAAAAGACATTCAATGGGCCCTAGCTGGTTTGGCTCAGTGGATAGAGTGTTGGTCTGTGGACTGAAAGGTCCTGGGTTCAATTCCGGTCAAGGGCACATGTCTGGGTTGTGGGCTCGATCCCCAGTAGAGGGCGTGCAGGAGGCAGCCAGTCAATGCTTCTCTCTCATCATTGATGTTTCCATCTCTCTCTCCCTCTCCCTTCCTCTCTGAAATCAATAAAAATATATAGAAAAAAAGAAAATAAATTCAATAGTTATGATTTGGAGTCCCACAGGAAAATACTGTAAAGCTACTGAAGGGCACCTTGGCAGCTTGGCTTACAGCGACTTAGCTTTGTGACCCTTCCCCGAGCAAGAACGACAACGCCCTGCACTCCAGCATTGCACCTGAGCTGGGCTGGTCCCCCCAGTTCCCGTAAGAGGCAGACGGGTGCGGGCCCGCAGCTCCCCTCCCCGCCAGCCCCACCCCCGGAAGCGGCCAGAAGCCCCGCCCACCCCGGGGGCGTCCTCCTGGGCCGAGTTCTAGCGTCTCCGCCCGGGGCCACGCGGTCACGTGACCCGGAGTGTGACGTAGGAGGAAGGAGACGCCATTAGAGGGAGGCGGAGAGGGAGCGCTCTTCTCCTTTCGTGGGGTGCCTGACGTGGTGGCCGGGGCCCTTCATTCTCGGACTTTCTCTCGGCCCCGCCAGGCCTCGCCCCAGGAGACGAGCTAGCAGACGGCGCCCGGGGTCGGCGGGCCGGGGCGGAGGGGCCTGTGCCCGTGGCTGTGAGGGCGCCGCGGCGGCCGTGCGGAGCTCGGCGCTGCTCTAGGGCTCGGGCGGCCCGGGAGCGGGGTGCGGCGGGATGGCTGCGGCCGGCGGCGGGGCGGCGGCGGGGCGAGCCTACTCGTTCAAGGTGGTGCTGCTGGGGGAAGGCTGCGTGGGGAAGACGTCGCTGGTGCTGCGCTACTGCGAGAACAAGTTCAACGACAAGCACATCACCACTTTGCAGGTGCGGGCCCCGGGGGGCGGGAGGCGGCGCCGGGGGCCCCTGCCCGCCCGCAGGACCCGGCCGCCGCGGTCTCCTGGAGCGGGGCTCGCCCATCCCAGGCCTGTCACCGCCGCCGTGGACTGGCCCCTCCGAACCCGCCCTGGGGACGCCCGGGGTCTTGGCAGCCTGTAGACGGACAGACAGACAGACAGACAGTCACTCGGGAGGGGAGTGGAAGGGCCCTGAAAGTCCCCATGCAGCGGCCGCGCAGGTCGCGGAGTCCCCATCGTTGGGCTAGTTTTTCCCCTTCGTCTTACTTCCTCTTGCGCCCTAGGTGCCTTCGCTTTACGGTCGCCAGATGTCCCCCCCGCCTTTTTTGTTGTGGTTGGTTTCTTTCGGAATTAGGGACTTCGCTGCGGGTTTGATTCCGCGAATTAGGTGACTTGGGACTTCAGCGCTTACCGATGACTAAGTGTTTATGCGAAAGTTCGGTTTTGTCCCGTCTTCACGTAACGCGCCGATGGGCAAAACGTCCACCCCGGAGGGGTTTTGAAAGGACCGCTCGCCGGTGCGGGTTACGCAGCTTCGTTGCCGCCTTGCGGGTCTGTCGTGCTCTGCGAGGTCGACCCACATTCACATGGGAACGTCATGTGAATACTGTTTATTTTCTTTGTTTCGGATAGAGAGCCGGCTTTCTTCCGTAGTTACATTGTGGCTCCTCAGAAAAGTGTTAGAATGTAATCATTTTGTTGGGAGGGAAACCGGTCCTTGGAGGCGGTTGTAGTCTGTCCCCCTCTCCCCCGAAGAAATCCGGCTGCACGTGTTGGAAAAAAGAAATATCCAACTAATCTGACTTGGTCAGTGTAGTCAGAGACAGTAAACCCTAGTGAACTTTTGAGCCTCCATTCATTTAACTAGTTGTGTCATCTTGGGCAAGTTCGTTAATGTATCTTTGCCTAAGTTCTTCGTCTTTTAAAGTTCTTCGCCATAATTTAGTGTCTATCTAATTCATAGGGTTGTCAGGACACATACACCTATATAAAGCGATTAGGACCTGGTCCAGTGTAAGTTCATCATTTTTACTGCCCCAGATTGCACAGTAGATCTTAATTAATGATTGTGGAGTGTGTAAGAACATAGACACTATTAATAGAACTCACAGTGTTCTTATTGTTGTGACATTTGATGCTTGATTCTATTATTAAAGTACCGAGTCTAGAATTTACGAAGATGTTCCAGTTCTATTTCCAGTTCTATTTTTATTCCTGTGTAAAGCATAATATCTGAAAAGGTTAATGCCAGGAAACTCCTTTTTTTCTTACATCCTTGCACAAGACCACTTACACAATTTTAATAGTGGATTGTTATTTTTGAGTGCTACTAATGAGATGTGTAGGGTAAATACATGTCTATGGTCATTTGGAAGTTTAGAAAATCATTTAGGTAAAATAGCAATAGCTAATATTGAGTTCTTTTTTTTTTTTAATCAGGCCTATGGGGCGGATAGGTTTTTTTTTTAAAAAAATATTTTTAATGATTTCAGAGAGGAAAGGAGAGGGAGAGAGAGATAGAAACATCAATGATGAGAGAGAATGATTGATCGACTTCCTCCTGGGGATTGAGCCCACAACCAGGTCATGTGCCCTTGACTGGAATTGAACCCACTCTATTCACTGAGCCAAACCCGCTAGGGCTAAGGTGGATAGTTTTGTTAGCCCCATTTTACAGTGAGAAAACAGGCTTGGTTGAGTAATTTGCTAGTCATTACATTGCCACAAGTCATGCTGCCCATCTTAAATTTGAACCCAGGTCTGATTTCAGATTTTGAGCAATTAAGTCACACTGCCTCTGGATATTGGTAAACCACCCCTTTAGTGGTTTCCTTTATGCTACAGGTCTAAGATAAAAGACAAAACCATTGCAATTGAGCTCTCAATTTTTATTTTAAAATATTTTTATTGATTTTGGAGAAGAAGGGAGAGGGAGAGATAGAAACATCAATGATGAAAGAGAATCATTGACTGGTTGCCTCCTGCATGCCCCACAGTGGGGACTGAGCCCACAGCCGAGGCATGTGCCCTGACCGGGAATTGAACCAGGACCTCCTGGTTCAGAGGTCGACACTACTACTGAGCTAAGCCAGCCTGCTGAGCTCTCAATTTAAAAAGAAAAAGACGCCCTAGCTGGTTTGGCTCAGTGGATAGAGTGTCGGCCTGGGGACTGGAGGAGGGTCCCAGGTTTGATTCCAGTCAAGGGCACATGCCGGGGTTGTAGGCTCGATCCCCAGTAGGGGGCATGCCGGAGGCAGCCGATCAATGATTCTCTCTCTCATTGATGTTTCTCTTTCTCCCTCTCCCTTCCTCTCTGAAATCAATAAAAATATATTTTAAAAAAGATAATTTAGCCCTTCAACCTAAAACTTACACTTTCCTTATAATTCAAAAAACACCATCAAAGTTAAAAGCAGGCTAGAGATTTTTAAATATCTGAGAAAAACCACTGCTGGAGACTGTCTATAGGCAGTCCACTCACATCCAACTCAACTCCAGGAAGAGGTCTCAGAAGCTCCTGCCCATGTCTAGGCACATTCTCCTTACCAAATCCAGGAATCTACACAGTGTCCTGTGCAATCCACACAGGAGAGGATGAAATTATGGTAGATCTCCAGTATCAAAGCATAGTCCTGATTTTGATGTTTATATATAACTCTCATCACAACAATATCTGGATTATATTATTGAATTGAGGATTTTGTTGTATTCCAATGTATGGAAACAGAATTATATCTAATCTTTCTCTTAGATATCAATTCATCTCATCTGATTCTAATAATTTTTTTCAGAGAAATTTGACTTCAGTCCTTGTAAGCTTTTAATTTCCTAATGGAGAAATTTGACTTACACGTCCTTGTAAGCTTTTAATTTCCTAATGGAGAGACCATGCATCAGTAGATATGATAGGAAGTTCCCCCTTTTTCTTGTAAACAAGGACTTACTATCTATCTTTGTAAAATACTTTGTTTTGCAAAGTACACTTTCATGCATTCATATTTCAAAGAATTATAGGACTGAGGAACCTAATAATAGTTTATGGTTCTCTGTTTCAGTCTCTTGTTTAATTTCAGTCAAGTGATTGTCTACTTTTGTCTTGGAGGTGTGATAAACTGACATAGAAGGTGTAAAACTATATGCCCTAAGGCAACCTGTTTCATTTTTAGATAGGTCCAATAAGTTTTTCTGTGTGTAAAGCCAAAATCTGTTTCCCTGTAGTTTCCAGTCCTAGTTCTGCTACTGCATCTTGGTTGCATGGGACATCCCTTTTGATAGTTGAGGATAGCTATCACATCTTGAGTCTTGTCATCTTTTGGATAAACAGCTCTGGTTCCTTTAACTGGATTTCCTATGATATTCTAAATCATTTCACTATTTTTTTTTGAGAATTTTAATGAATTTATTTTAGTTAAACTGGCAGCGTATACCAGGGAGCAAGATCTCAGATGCTCCTCATTTCACTATTTTGACGTCTTTTCTAGACTCTTCACTATTTATTTACTCATTGTCCTCTTTTTCTTTTTTTTATTGATTTCAGAGAGAAAGGGAGAGAGAGAGAGTTAGAAACATCAAAGGTGAGAGAGAGAATCATTGATTGCCTGCCTCCTGCACACCACGCACTGGGGATCAAGCTTTCAACCCGGGCATGTGCTCTGACCAGGAATCAAACCGTGACCTCCTGGTTCATAGGTTGACGCTCTACCACTGAGCCATGCCAGCTGGGCTGTCCTCTTTTCTTTAAAATGTGATGCCTTGAGCTGCAGAAATGATTGCAGGGGTGGTTTGAACTGAGCAGAGTAGTGCAGGCTATCACCTCCCCTACTGAGAATCCTTTTCTAATACTGAAGTAGAAAAGATTCTATCTTTTTGTCACACCAATTAATATTGGGCTTGCTATCTTAGTCTTACTTGCTTAAAAAAGTTTTACATCCCTTAAATTATTTTTTCTTGGATTTTGTAGTTGCTTTTTGTCCCTAATGTATTTGACCCATTAAATTTGACTTTGATAGGTTTGCGTCAGTGGTTAAAACCTCTTAATATCCTTTTAAATTTTTATTCTATAGTTCAAAAAACATTGATTTTGGGGTCAGGCAGTTGGTTGAGTCCTGGGCATGTAAAGAAGAATAAGGCATGGTCTCTATTGTCTTGATTAGCTACTCATTTTAACTTGGACACCCAAAGATTTTTCTTTAATTTCTGGCCAGGTCATTAATAAAGACTTTCAAAGGGGGAAGAGAGGGCCAAGTGCAGAGCTCTGCAGCAGGTCTCACTAGTCCAGTGATGTGTGACTAGAGGTGTAGTTTTCTTTAGACTTTGGGAATCTTAGGGTGGGGCTTTTTTAGGCTATGTATGGCCCATAGTCTTTTTTCCCCTTGAGTGAGAAATCCTTACTAATGGAGTGTTGTACATATTAATGATAATGGAAGCAAAAAACAACTTAAGACTTACTTCTGTGGGCTACTACCTACTGGATATGAAACCTTTAGAAAAAAATGGTTATTCCAGCATTATTGATCTCCTAGCTTTTTTGCCCTAGATACGTTAGTCTTGCCCCTGGTTATCACTAGATGCTTTGACAAATTCTTGCAGAAGACAGGACACACTGTGTTCCGCATTAGGAGGCCATACATTGTGGTAAAAGGGGACTTTGGTTTCTACTTACAGCCATCATGATCTTGGTTATTCTAATGTTTATAAGCTGGCTTTTTCTTATGGAATGGGAGAATCTCACACATAGGGTTTTTATGTGGATTAAATAGAAGGCCATCATTTGTACAGCTCCTACCACAGTGCCTGGCACATGTTTGTTTAATAAATGTTTGCTGTTGAATAAATAGGTGGTGCTTAATGTGTGTTGGTTTCTTCCATTTCAAAAAGATAATGGAATTTGGCATGAATTATTTTGAGAACTCATGTTGTCTCTGAGGGATAACTACATTTTAAAATTGTTTATTAGGTTATAAACAATTT